AAAAAAAAAAAAGGCTGAGTAATCTCATAAAACAGCTGGGCCTTATATTTTTAGCAAGCACTGCATAGTTGTGGGGAACTATTTTTAGCCACGGATTATTATACATATGGTGCATATTTGAGTATTTGGAGTAGCAGAAGGCATATGTCAGACCTGGAAGTTTAAATTAAATGCCTGAAAAGGCTTTCAGTTCAAATGGATTGCACTGTACTGATAGAAAATAATGAATACTATCATAAATGTCCTTAAAGCGTTGAACAATTTGATGTCTGAATGGTAAATCATTAAGTTTACATAACTAAAATACTTAAGTACAGCAGAACAAATATATTTGTGTGGAATCATTACGAAATTACCTCAACTTGTCTTCTTCAGTTGAGTCAACTTAAAATTTTACAGCAGCCTCGATACTAATTTTTTAAAGTTAAAACAGTTTTCTTTTGCAGTGTATGTGGGATTTAGTCCAGATCAACAACAGTGTGTGTGTGTGTGTGTTTATGGTAATGGAGGAACATGTCACCCAGTGCAACAGTGTGGCTCTTTGATGTGTTTTCAATAGCCTTTGGACAACAATTGCGCTCTGTGGCACAGAGGAAGAAGCTTTGATACACACACACAGCACTTATTCGAATGATCAGATCACCGGGTCTTTTTGTGTGATTTGTTGACAGTAAGAAAAATCTAGAATATCATCAGATTATTCTTTAAGTAGCCAAAGATGAATAACTATACCTAACCGACAGCTAGTCTCAAAAGGCTGGCTTCTGGCTGCCCCCATTTCTTTTCATACCATACAAACATGAACGAAAGAGTCGCTTGAGTGAGTTGTGACATACTGTTTTCCCAACTCAGAGAAAACTCCGACCCGACATCACTTGAAAGCAGGGTGTCGCGTTCAGGTGCTCGTAAACTACACAACTGGTGTATTTCTACCATGACAGTGTTAAGGTGCTTGTTAAAGTCAAAAGAATCAACACAGTTCAAGGCTGTAAAATAAACGACATCATTTGACTGCTTTTCTCTCAATGTACTGTACATAGTCTGAGCAACACTGAGATATAAAGAAGACCTTGTTTGATAGTTAGCCCACAAAAAAAAGAAAAAAAAAGAAGAAGCTTAGTTTATTATTAGCATTAACAAGGTAGTAGGCTGGTTGGCTGCTGTATCCTGCTGATTCAACACTGAAACTTAAATTGTTTACCAATTAACAAGGACCGTCCAAATGCATCATATGCAATCTGTGAGTCCCAAGCATTCACCAATGCACCATACCTTAACTCCTCTAGTTCCTCATATTCTTCCTATCAGTGTAATCAGTGCCAAACAAACCCACTCGGTCAAAGGTGGAATGCTGCATTCAGGTCATATTGGAATAATGGTACAAAACTCTGGTACTTATTTGAATTTATTGGTACTAAAGATGACATCATTGGTGTTTTTCCTTGCTGCTGATAGTCTTCACGCTTCAGTTAACCCCACAGATGTCAAGTGTTAACTTCCAGATCCGAAGCTCATGTCTACGATCTTTCCTCTTTGACCTTAATGCAGCACCAGTCACAACTTCTGAGCTTTGACCCCTCTCCTGATAGGCTGATGCAGTCTTCCTCCACCCCTCCCCTCGTTCCTCCCTCTCTTCTTCATCTTCCTTTTTTCCTCCCCTCCCTCTCCACACTTGCATGCCCATAAAAGGGGGCGTGTCATTCTCTTTGGGCAGGTTTTATTCCAGGCATGAGACGAGGGGTGCAGCACCTGGGCGGGACTTCTGATCTGACTAAATGTTACATTCATGGCAGTTCTCGATGCGATTTTTGGCACGTGAGAGGAGTTTTCAAAGTCCAAGCTTTGGTACCAACACTGTCTTCTCATATATTCCACTAGCTCAGATGTCAGAAACTTCCCAGTTACCTCAAATGCACCATATATCTATCAATGGCTCATGCTGGGTTCATGTCATGTTAGACAAAGAGGAAGAACAGGGTGACTTTATTGTAATAGTTTAAAGGCAGACATTTATTCGCTATAAGGACCACATACAAATTATGTTGTTTTTTTTTTTTTAAAAAAAGTATTCAATTAAAATGCTTCCCACATTTTTTAGGCAGGTCATAATTACACTAAACCCATTATGACATGAACACAGCATCAGAGCACGTCCTGGCACCTGCCCAAGGAGGACCAATCAAACCCAGATAGATCCATTTGAGTAAGAAGAAGCAGGTTATTGTTAAACTGCCTTTGTACTGAGTGATTCGTAACACTGGACTGAACTCAGTGTCACACTGCACACACTATAAACTATGACCAGCACTTGTAATGAAGCAATGACACAGCATTCTACTACTACTGTATAAATATAATGAAGAGGATGTTTTTTTCTGTAATGATATTATTGAAACTGAAGATGAATTAATAAAAATAATCCTGATTATTCTGTACCTTCTGTTTGGGCAAGTTGCTTTGTTTTCTAATTATCTGTAATATAATAACAGAAAATGTGGAATATTTAATCATTTTGCTAGTTTCAGTCATGAGGGAAAGCTGTGATACAAGGTGTGCAAAGCTGGAAATACTACTGATGGAGTTATTTTAGATCGACAGGCATTTTGTTTTCATAACTTAAGAGATCTAGGATACAACTTCCCTAACAGACAGACTGTGAAAAATGTCTAAATATATTATTCCATATACAAATACAACTAAACACAACTTTTCAGTTAGTAATATGTATAAATCAGATTTTCCTGTTTCATAATTTTGCATCAGTTGTTTAGTTTACTTTCCACCGTGATATAAAAATATTCAGATACTTTGGCCAAACACTCCAAATAAAAGTTTCATAAACTAATTCCCTAATAAAAAATGTGAGAATGGCCATGTTCCATCAATTTTATCTTAAACAGATCTGGCAGAATATTGAAATTTGTTTTTGTCATTTTTGTACTCACAGGGAATGCAAATTACCCTTTTTGATTTTCTTTTGTGTTGTATTAGACAAATGTCATTCGGCCTGTGATGTTGTGAATGACAATGAAAATGGAATTGTTCCTGGGATTCAAACACAATTTAGATCACTTCCCAAATCTACAAACAGACCAGTTTTTTACCCTAACGAGGCTACACCTGTTCTCCTGAAAAACTGGCTTTGTCTTTAGTATTTTAGTATTACTATTTGTACTTAATACTGTTACTTTGTTTTGTGCAATGACAATGCAGTTAATTCCAATCTAATCTAATTCAGAGTACACAACGAAATTCAGTTTAGCATCTAACCAGAAGCACAAATAGAAGACTATAAACAGAAGAGTAATATTTATAAACATGTGTATA